AAAAGTTAAACAGTGATCTAAAACAGATTGCTTACTGGCTTCAGCAAAATAATCTCGTTATTAATCTTAAAAAGACCAAGACCGAGTGCGTCCTTTATGGTACACACCAGAGAACTTCGAAATCAAAACCTATGGAGATCAAGATCAATAACACAAAGATCACAGAATCTAAAAAATACGAATATCTAGGAGTAAAGATGGACAAGAACCTGACATTTTCTGATCATTTCGAAAAAACAATAAAAAAAGCCTCATCTAGAGTAAAGTTATTGTCGCGTATACGGCATAATATAAGTCCTTACACAGCAGAAACAATTTACAAGGTAACAATTTTACCAATTCTGCTTTATTGTAACAATGTGTTCCTTCACATGGCACCATCAAAAAAGATGGTGTATGAGAACATTCAGAGACGGGCCCTGAAAGTAATAAATGGCAACAGGGACAGTGTACAGCTGGAAAAAGTCAGTAGTATACGAAACAAGATGTGTGCTCTTGAAGTTTTCAAAAGTTTGAATAGCGTATCGCCACACGCCTTTCGAAACTACTTCAATAGAGTAAAACACAGGCAGTGTACTCGTGCCAATGCAAAAAATATTGTTTTGCCCAAAGTACAATCAGAAGCAGGCAAGAAGGCCTTTTACTTTCAAGGAGCAAAGATTTTTAATAAACTAACAGACGAAATGAAGTGTGAAACATCAATTCTAAGATTTAAGACTTTTTGTAAAAATTTTAACTTCGACTTTTAAGATTTCATTTTCATCATGTATTTAATTTTTATTTCGGTAATCCATGTATAATTTAGACAGGTCCTTTATTGATAACAGCACGTTGTTGCTGACCAAAGTTAACCTGTATAAATATGATATTATTATTATTATTATTATTATTGATCTTGCTGTACTTTTTTCACAGGCTCCAGTTATAGCTCTTGTTGGTAATGATGCTTGCTGGTCACAGATTGCGAGGGAGCAAGTGCCTATGTTTGGAACACCTGTTGGATGCCAATTGGCTGTGAGTTGTTCGTTCCTTTCAGAATTTGGTCCTTGCATGATATATGAGCTCCATACATGAGATATCCTAAATGATATTAATTTTCGCGATCCTGCAGTGAATCATCACTCGTATAACTTTAGCTGAATGGAGCTTATGTTTGTTTTGAATCGGTACCATGCCTTTTTGCTTTACGATTTTTCCACCACAATTATACTTTAGTTTTTTGAAAGCAAGGTGTACATACCTTACAGAGATAGACTGTGTTCTTTCTCAACGTCGGTCAGCAGGACTACATGTCGGAAGAGGAGATATTTAAGATAGTTTTGCTAGGAAAAACAGTATGAAACTCTCTTTGATATATACCCAAAACTGCTGTTTTTTACCCTCATATGTGCATTGGCAGGACCTTCAAGTGAATAATGGCAAAATGTTTATTTTAGCACACAAATTATGACGTCGTTGCTAAAGGGTATGGCGGAGAAGGACTGAAGATTGAAAAGGGCTCAAATGATGACATCGACGAGGTTTTCAAGAAAGCTCAAGACCTGCAGAAGCAAGGCAAGCCCGTGTTAATCAATGCTCTGATTGGAAAGACTGATTTTAGAGAAGGATCCATTTCAGTTTAGGAGTTTGAAAGAGAATGAAATATTTTATATGTAGATGAAAAATTCGTGATTTAATGATGATAGTTTATTGAGCAAAAGTCCTTTTTTCTATCAGATTCGTTTGAAAATCATTGTGTGAAAGTATTAGGTCCATCTTTGCATGAGAAATGTTTTGCTACCAGAAATGAAGTTTTCGCGTTTCTTGTTATCTCTACCAGGAGTAACAGATTTCTAACAGACGTATTAGTTAAAGAAACTACCTTCTTGCAAAATTTTGGTTAACTTTGTTAAGAATGCCGAAAGTTATAGTTAACAGTGTCAGATCTTGAAAGAACTTTTTGCTTGGGCAACATTAGGCGTTAAACGTTCGGTATAATCACTGTGAAAAGTCATAGTACTTTAATGTCAGCTTTCAAGGACGAATCCCTCTATCCCACCCTGGATCAATTTCAGTTTACAGTAGATCAGGACAGTACGTCTCTCATGTGGTTCGTATGATAATTGTAAAAAATGTCAACATTGTCATGCTGTTCAAGGGGGGGGCCGCATTGGAAAAGAATAAAGGCGCAACTGACTATTTGGTGGTTAGCTGTTATTTGGCAGACTTGATCGCCCAGTATGATGTAATATAAATTGTGGTCTGGAGCTTTGTGATGAAGGAGCAGGATTGTTTACAATGTCCTGATTATTTATGACAAAAAAGGTTTGTAATTTATGTCTTTCTTAGACCAGTCTCTCATTTACCGAAATAAGAAAAGTTAAGTTTACCTTCTAAAAGACTCTGACAAAATCCACCAAAGGCTCGATAAAGTAAATAAATAAATACGCCAAACCTTATACTTAAGGATATTCATTTTTCTCTTTATTCGCTGTGTTAGTTTCTTCAGGAGTTTTCTAAGATAAGAGAAATACAGGCTGTATCTTTAGTTACACACAATTCAAGTTTTTATTATAAAGCAGTTAAAAATTTGAATTCGTTAAGTACTTTTGAACCAAGGACAGTTAAACACGGGTAGTTTCAAATTCAAGACACTTGAATTCAGCTTGCGTGAATAGCCTAGAGCCACCGCTGCAGGGATTTGGAAATAAAAAAGCTACTTTCATCTTTTCCCGTTTAGTTGTTATATTATTAAAAATCTTGTTACTTTTATAAACTTATCCAAATATACTACCTACAAAAGTGGCAAACACCAACTTTGCCATCATTCAATGTAATCTCAATAAGTATTAACAATAAGGTGCTGAATGCTTCAAGTCTCATCTGCCACATCCGGAAAGATAATGGCACACCCTGTTTACTTATCTAGCGGTGTGTACACCATCCTCTAGCTTACGAGTTTTACCAGTTCCACCACAATAAAAATACGCCAAAAAAGGAAATACATAAATTCAATAGATCATACACAAATAAAATAAAAATCGACGAAACATGCGAGGCAGAACTAGACTGCAAAAATTAACAAAACTTAGAAGAATCAAATTGCCATCTCTGAAGTTTATCAAAAGACCATGACTCAAAGATATGTAAAAAATTACGCAGCAAATATAAATTGCAAGAGCCTATAATCAAACTTGTACAATTCTTCTTTGGCCAAACAAGTATCAAAGGTTAATAAAATAATAATAATTTTTCGTAAAAGTATTTTTCTATATTCTTTGAATAGAAACTATCA